TGAAGGGAATGTGGTCTTTCACCTTGTTTAATCCATAAAACACTTCATGTTAAAAGCTGTGTTACTATAATGAATTTTAGCTAATTTTGGCATGTTGTATGATATTTTTGTGTTTCCGTGCCGTGAAAAGATATGAAGAGATCGCGCAGTCTTTCTCTCTTTTGTAAGCCATTGATGGTTAACACGACGTTAACCGAAATCTATGAAAAGTGTAACAATGTAAACCACAGTAATGCGCTCATTTGAAGTTAACATGGGCGTGTTGAATTGGTTTTTGCGTGTGTACACTTGTGCAATTGTCCCGTGAAGTAAAAAGACAACATTAAACGTGACTAAAAACAAGCCACGGTGAAATGTCGCTCTTTCTAACTGGGCGGATTAACGTTATACGGCGTTTCTGGACTGGTGAATGGCGCTTCAGAAGAGGAATTCATCGTTCCGAACGAAAATGAATGACTGAATGGTTTCACAAGGCTGTTCAAAGCGTCTCAGGCAGTCCCCTAGGTAGTGAATCACTAGATCGTGCACATGAGTCCCTGCACTGGGAAAGACCGTAGCTCAGTAAACACTGGGACAATTGATCGATCAATTTGTAAAACGTCACCACTGGTATTTATAAACAACATGTAGGACCGTTATATTTTGATATTATTTTTATGCTATTTAAGGTAGCTTACATGTTCTATTACAAATCCAGTCAGCATCAATGCTGCCTTTTGTGCAATGGATTGTAGAATGGATTTGTGTAAAATAAAAAAAATGGTTGCAACTTCTGTTTCATCACAAATGTAATGAACTGATATTGAACTGATATTGACTTAGAAGGCATCATTTCATTTTTTGAACTTAAAATGTACTTTTCTTTCTCCATCAGGGTGTGGCTAAAGATTTCATTGGTGCTTTTCATCATTGCAAGATTTCAGATGCAACCCAGTCAGTTCTCCCGTGGAACCAAACATTGGCACATGACCAGACCGCTCCACTGCGACTACATACTGTGTGTACTTTCAAGCATAGGAGTTTATTGTTTTCATTCCAGGTAATTTGTGTAAATGTTTAGAGTTTTTACTACAATTATAATGTGCTTTATTGTTCTCAGTGGCATCTACGCTAATATTAGTCTGTTTCATTCTTATTCCGAGGTCACCATAGCCACCAGATCCAGTCTGTATCCAGATCAGATGGTGGATCCGCACCTAGAGACAACCTCGACAGCTCTGAATGTCAGCAGAGACCACATCAGCTAGATGAGCTCCAGAGACAGATCCCCTCTGAAGACGTCATTGGCCATCGGGACAAGACCACAAGAACCAGACAAGTCCTCTGCTCAATCTGAACTGTGTTGCAGCCTAGAATTAAACCACGCCATGCTGGTTTCATCTGGCCAGAGGTGAACTGCCCTGACTGTGCCTGGTTTCTCCCAAGGTTTTCCACTCAATTTCTGTCACCGATGGAGTTTTGGGTCCTTGCCGCAGTTGCTTATTTGGGGACGCTTGGCTGATTGCACGGACATTATTGGAAGAGAGCTAAACTGGATGATGTCAACACTGAATCACCGATGAACTGACTTTAACTGGAAAAATGACTTGTTATTGTCCTCTTGCATTATTGACAAACTATTTTTCTGTTTGACTCTGTAAAGCTGCTTTGACACAATAAAGCGCAATATAAATAAAGGTGACTTGACTTTATATACTGTAACACCTTTTTTGTGCCTCATTTTACAGATGTAATTGTGAAAAGTAGTAATATTTGTAGATGTTTGTTTGCTAACATTTTGTTTAGCTTGTTTAGTTTTTTCTTAGTTCATTAAACAAAGTTTAAACTGAATTTCGCAGTTGTATTACAGATGTAATGTTTGTCAACTGGCGCTTTAAAGGGATAGTTCACCCAAAAATGAAAATTTGCTGTTAATTTACTGACCCTTAGGCCATCCAAGATGTAGGTGACTTTTTTTCTTTAAGCCTGTATATTTAGTCCGTATGAAAAATGTTATAAATGGAGATTGTTATTAAATAAAGGCTATTATGTGTTGTAATGTGTGTGTTTTTAGTGATCGATAAACACCAGTTAATAATTTTTAATAATTTTGTTACACTATAAACATATGTTTATTTAGTTCCCCAGCAATTTCTTATGATGCCCAAATAATAAATCTTAGTTGAGTTAACATAAAACACATGGAGTAAATGACTACATTTTAATTGACATAACTTTCTGTAGTTTTCTAAATGTTTGACCAATTAAAACATTTTAGTTGAATGGACTATAAAACTAGTTCAGTAAAGGTTGGGCCAACTAAAAAAATCAAAATTCAGGCAACACTTTTAAGTCAGAAATTGACAATGTAAAATTTATGTGGAACTACTTACTAAATAATAATTAGTTGAAACACCTTGAATTTTTTTACAGTGTACAATATTTCCCAGGTAAAAGCCAGGCACTGTTTTATAGTCATGATAATGGGCGGAGCTACTGTATGACATCACTGCAGGTGACTGAAAGACTTCAGTGTGAGTGAAACTTAACAGATGAACTGAAAGCTTCGTCAGACAACAACACTTCTATTCAGAAACTCAAAAATTAACGATCAGATCTGGTATTCACTCACAGGTAAGTGATGGAAATGTAAAGAGCTTGTTCAGTAGTTAAATAGAATGAAGCAGTATCATAATGTTAGTAAAAGTATGTCATTTCATTGGCTGTAAGTCAAAGTTTGAAGTGTGCTGTTAGTGTAGAGGCGGCAGAAACAGGAAGTACCTGAACTGCAGTCAGAATTAACAAAGTCCAACAGAACCTGCCTGAACAAGTGCTGGACAAACACACAGACCTGCTTCTGTCCACTCTGTAAAGAAAAGTTCAGCAGAAGACCTGATCCTAAGATTAATACAACACTTAGAGAGGTTGTGCAGCACTTCAAGGAGAAGTTCAATCTAGGAAGATCTGAGGTGCTCTGTGACATCTGTGATGGAAGAAAGCAGAAAGCCGTGAAGTCCTGCCTGACGTGTCAAAGCTCTTACTGTGAGACTCACCTGGAGCCTCATCACAGAGTCCCACGTCTAAAGAAACACACACTGGTCAACGCTGTGGAAAATCTGGAGGATTATATATGCCAGAAACACGAGAGACCTCTGGAGCTGTTTTGCAGAGATGATCAGATGTGTGTGTGTCTGTCCTGCAATGAAGGAGACCACAGGACTCACAACACTGTTCCTATAGAGGAGGAGAGTCAGCAGAAGAAGGCAAGAGTCACAAACAAAACACTATAAACACCCATGAAATGCAGTTTTCTTTTCTCTGTGTTGACATGTTGAAGAACTCGTTCCTTTTTTATGTTAAAGGTCAGTCACACTACACTTTTCGTTCCATTGGTAGAGCGGTAGAGCAGAAACGCAAGCTCCTGCGAAGTTGTTTCGCATTTTACTGTGTTCCAAAATTGAAGTTTGGTGAATTCTGTCCTGTGAATTCGTATCACGTGAAACCGTGTGACCAACAGAAGATCGATATGTCAAGGCATGACCTCGTAGCTCAATTAAAAGAACATCAGTTTAAAACTGCAGTTCTTCCGGAAAGTGGAGTAGATTGTAAGTTTTACATTTTGGATTTATTATTATTTGTTATGTGCAGGGCTGCGTGGATTACTTACAAACTGTAGACAGTTACTGATTACAGATTACATTATGAAAACTGTTATTAGTAATGTAATGGTTACTCATTTTAGGTAATATATACTTTTTAGATTAGAGTTAGTTTTAAACTTACCATTAAACATTCCATATTTATATATTTTTTTAAAAAGCAAAGAGAAAAAATATATTCCACTTTTTTATTTCAACATCATAAAATGCATTAAACATTACATTACAGCAGGGTTTCCCAAACTGGGCTTAAAGGGATAGTTCACCCAAAAATGAAAATTTGATGTTTATCTGCTTACCCCCAGGGCATCCAAGATGTAGGTGACTTTGTTTCTTCAGTAGAACACAAACGACGATTTTTATCTCAAACTGTTGCAGTCTGTCAGTCATATAATGGCAGTCTATGGGCTCCACGGCTTTGAGAGTCAAAAAAACATACACAGACAAAACCCTGCGGCTCGTGATGATACATTGAGGGTTTAAGACACGAAACGATCGGTCTGTGCAAGAACCTGAACAGTATTTATATCTAGGGATGGCTGACGCAAGACTAACGTTTCGACACGGTCACAAAGGGTTCATTCAGTTGTCAGAGAGATGTTACAACACATTACAAGAACAGAACAATAAAAACACAACATTCAAATATTTATTATAATTATATACATGCTATACCCAGGATTTGAACCTCTAAAGTGATAGGTTCTGACAACATGCCAGTTGTGCACACTAACCACTCCCCCAACCCATATGGTGGGATGACAAGCACAACATATATGTTATAATTCGTCAATTTGCTTAACTGATTCGTTGTCAAAGCTGTTTCAGAGCAATACTTGAAAATGACCACTAGGTGTCATCATAGAGACGGGTGTCGAATTGTTTCGAAGCCTCGGCACATTTTCTTCGACTGTTTCAGTTTCATGAAGCCTTGCTCTGCCCACCACTATTTATATAATATTTTACCTCTGATCCACCGCCTGTTGATCCAACTGTCCTGAGCGTGTTCACAACATCCGGCGTGTGATGTCAAATAAATACGGTTGGGCAAAAAAATCCACCATAGAAACAGTCACTAATGAGGCATCTACTTATATCTATGTCTACTATGACAGAGCACGTACACGCGTCGGATGTTGTGAACGTGCTCAGGACAGTTGGAGATTGCAGTGGATCACAGGTAAAAAAAATTATATAAATACTGTTCAGTTTCTTGCACAGACCGATTGTTTTGTGTCTTACGACCTCAATGTATCATCACGAGCCGCAGGGTTTAATTTGGTTTTGTCGGTGTATGTTTTTTTTTTTATTCTCAAAGCCGTGGAGCCCATAGACTGCCATTATATGACTGTCAGATTGCAACGGTTTGAGTTAAAAATCTTCATTTGTGTAATACTGAAGAAACAAAAGTCACCTACACCTTGCCATGGGGATGATAAGCAGATAAACATCACATTTTCATTTTTGGGTGAACTATCCCTTTAATGTAAGAACTGCAGAGGGTTTGCGAGTTGAATAAAAAGCCAATTAATGAAATCAAAATATAAAAGAAATTTAAACCCTTAAACACTAAAAATATAAATATTTAATTTGTTTACCTGCATGTTAATGTGACCATTAAGTGACATCAAATTGTAAACATGCAAATGTGTTACATTGCAATATTCACTTCCTCAGATACATTTTAAGTAAATATTTCATGTCAAAGGGCTTTGGCTGACAAAAATGTTTGGGAATCCCTGCATTATATGAAGAAACATTAATAAACATGAAAACAGCATGATGCCCAAAGTCTTACAGGTTTGAAATATTTTTGTAAAGATCTCTAGATCTTTCTAGATCTGGATGCGTTCACTTCCACCACGAATGGAGATTGGGGATCAGGGTGACAGAGGATGGGGGCCGTGCTGAATTCCTCTTTGAGCTTCTCGAAGGCTTCGTAGAAGTTGGAGCTCTAGGACAGGGACTTGGGTTTCCCTCGGAGCATGCAGGTTAGAGGAGCTGTGTGCAGACTGAAGTTCTTGATAAATCGCCGGTAGAAGTTGGCAAATCCTAGGAATCTTTGCAGGTCTTTCACGGATTGTGGGAGCGGCCATTCCTGGATGGCCCCTTACCTTCCCCTGGTCCATCTGAATTCCATCCCAGCCGATGACATAGCTGAGGAACTGAAACCGTGGAGCAATGGAATTTACATTTCTGCAGTTTGAAAGGTGGTTTGGAGTACCTGCTTCACGTGGTGGCGATGTTCAGCCAGGTTCCGGGAGTTCGAGGATATCAGCGATGTAGACGATCACGAAGCGATGGAGGAACTCCCGGAACACCTCATTCATGAAGCCTGGGAAGACAGACGGTGAGTTGGCCAGGCCATACGGCATTACCCGGTACTCGTAGTGGCCAGATGGAGTGATGAAAGCTGTCTTCCACTCGTAGCTTTCCCGAATACGAACAAGGTTATATGCGCTCCGCAGGTCCAACTTGGCGAATATGCATGCTTCACGGAGTTCCTCGAGGGCGGCTGGGACCAGGGGAAGTGGGTATGGCAGCTTCACAGTCTGGGAGTTCAGAGCACGGTAATCTATGCACGGCCTCAAGACCCCATCCTTCTTGCCCGCAAAGAAGAAGCTCGAGGCAGCAGGTGAGGTGGAGGGTCAGATAAATCCTTGCTTGAGAGCTTCCTGGATGTAGTCCTTCATGGTCTTGCGCTCTGGGATGGACCGAGGGTATACTCTACCCTTGGGGGGTTTTGACCCAGGCAGCAGGTCGCACAATCCCATGGCCGATGAGGTGGAAGGCGGGTTGCTGCCTGCTTGCTGAAGACATCCTGGAACGCCACATAGTCAGATAGGACGGTGGGAATCTCCTGAGGCTCGGGGCTCTCAACGAGAGTGGAAGCGACTTGAGCCGCCATGGAACTTGAGCGGTTTGGGGACCGTGGAGAGACAGTTCTGCAGGCAAAATCCGAAGACATCCGACTCTCAGTTTCAACAGGGGAGCTCGATGCGTCACCCGCCCACGCCCTAGCGGTTTTCCTTGTATAGTCTCGACTCTGAGCTCCTGGGCCTGGTGTTTACGGGGCAGGTGAAGGCAACTTAGGAGGACTTGGGATATGAAATTGCCCGAAGAGCCCAAGTCGACAAGGACAGAGACTGAAACAGAACAATCTGGGGTGAGTAGCTGTACTGGTAACAAGGATAGAGTTGAGATGTCTGGTTCTAGTTGAAGGGTACTCACCGCAGGGCGTAGGGGTCGGACGAGGCAGTTCTGGATGAAGTGGTCCGTTGCTGCACAGTATGGACAGAGTCCAGCCGCAAGGCGGCGAGCGCGTGCTGCGCAAATGAGGCGAGAGGAATCCAGCTGCATGGGTTCTAGTACTGGGTGACCGAAGGCGGGTGCGGCAAGCTGGTGGGCAGCTTCGTCAGGTTGGCAGGCGGATAAGCATTGAGAGATACATGTGGCCCTCTGCATGAAGCTCTCCAATCCTACTGAATCATCAAAGCGTGGATCCGAGGATTCATCCCCTGATGGTAGGCACTGAGAAGGGCAGCCTCATTCCAGTCGCCAGTCACCGCTAGCGTGCAGAACTGCAGGGTGTAGTCACTGGTGGATGTGGCGCCCTGACGCAGCAGCCGATCAGACACCAACAACCCGGTAGCAGCCACAAACACCTCGAAATGGTTGGTGAAAGCATCATACAAGTTGATTATGGCCCTTTTGGCGTTCCATATAGCACGGGCCCATAACGGTGCTCTGCCAGTTAAGAGGGAAATCAAGAATGCTACCTTGGAACGTTCGGTGGGGAAATTCTGCGGCTGCATCTCAATGAACAGGGCCACTTGAAGGAGGAAGCCACCGCACTCAGCTGCGTCACCTGCATAGGAAGCAGGAATGGCCATGGGACTTACAGAGGCAGATAGAGGGGTGGTGACTGGCGTGAGGAAGGCGTGGAGAGTGTTAATCAGTTCCTCCAAGACTTCTGCTTGTTTGAAGATTGTGGCAGCGGATAGCAGGTGAGAAAAGCACACAGAATAACAGTTCGAGGGTTCTTGGCTGTTGTGACTGATGTTGGTTCTTTTGCAGGTTGCCAGGAGGTGGACAGGAACGGAGGTGAACAGGATCGAGGGAACATCGGAGAATCTAGAGGTAAGTAACACACAGGTGAGTAAACAGGTGAGGAGTCGGGCTTGGTTCAGCGAGGTGAACGGTAGATCGGACAGTGAGGGAATGAGTGGAGTGCAGAGATATAGGAGGCTTGATTAGTGGCTACAGGTGTGGGTGATCAGAATTCTGGAGATTGGGATCTGGTGATTGTCCTGGCAGGTGACTGTGACTGCAAGGATTCGCTGACAATATGATGAAGACAGTGTTTCACATCTATATTTGGAAACTTGCGTAATTATTTGTTTCATGTATGGTCTAATTGCGTGAGAGGTGCTTTTTCCCCCAAATTCAGAAGCATGGATCGCAAAATTATTTACATGACCATTCAATATTATAAATATAATCAAAGCTGAATGGCATGAAACACAGTAGGATTTTAAAGAGTCAAATTTAAAAGAGAAAAAAGGAAAATTAGGGAGAATCATTAAATTATGAATGATTTACTGCCACTGTGTGAAAAATATGTAATCCATTAAAAAGTAACTAATCTGATTACAGTGCCTTGCGAAAGTATTCAAACCTCTTCATTTTTTTCACATTTTGTTCTGTTGCTGCTATGTTAAACTGCTTTAAATATTTTTTTCCACATCAATCCACACTGCATTCACCATGAAGGCAAAACAAAAAAAACCCTGGTTTTTAACATCTTTGCAAATGTATTAAAAACCAAACAATTTAAATTATTCCATTGCATAAGTATTCATTCATATCATTTATTCGTATTCATATCTGGGGAAGAGTTCAGAAAAAAATCTACTGCTTTGAAGGTTCACAGAAGCATGTAATCTCCATTATCCATAATGGAAGAAATCTGAAATGACCAGGACTCTTCCTAGAGCTGGCCTCCTGGCCAAACTGAGCAACTGATGGAGAAGGGCCTTGTCTAGACTGGTGACCAATAAACTGATGGTCACTCTAGTTGAGCTCCATGATCATATGTGCAGATGGGAGAAACCTACAGAAGGACAAACATCGCTGCAACACTCCACCGATCTGGGCTTTATGTCGGTGTGGTCAAACTCAAACCTCTCCTCAGTGAAGACGCATGAAAACACACTTGGAATTTGCACACACAAAAAAAGCACCTACAGGACCCTCAGACTGTGAGAAACAATATTCTCTGGTCTGATGAACCTCAATTCTAAGCACCATTTGTTTTGATGTTTGAAGTAAACCAGCTCTGCTCATCACCTGCAGAGTACCATCCCAAAAGTAAAGTGTGCTGGTAGCAGCCTCATGCTGTGTGGCTGTTTTTTAGCAGCAGGGACTGAGGGACTCGTCAGAGTAGAAGAAAAGCTCAATGCACCAAAATATAGAGATAGTCTTAATGAAAACCTAGTCCAGAGTATTCAGAACCTTAGACTTGACAGAAGGTTCACCTTCCTACAGGACAATGACCCTAAACACACAGCAAGAGTGGCTTATAGACAACTCTGTGAATGTCCATGAGTGGCCCAGCTACAGCCTGAGCTTGAACCCAATCAAATATTTCTGGAGAAACCAGAAAATGTGCGTCTGCCCCCCATCCAATCTGACAGAGCTTGAGAGGTGAAGATGCGAGGAGAAGAATGACAGATAATTGCCAAATGCTGATGCTCAAAGCTTGTCACATCACCCAAATAGATTTGAGGCTGTAAAGGTGCTTCAGCTAAGTACTGAGTTAAGGGTATGAAAACTTATGCAATGTACTTATTTCAGTTTTTTTATTTTTAATTAATTTACAAAGTTGTGACCGTTCTCTTTTTGCTTTGCCATTATGGTGTATGGAGTAGATTGATGTGGGAAAAAAGTAATTTAAAGGAGTTAACAAGCCTGCAACATAAAACACAGAAAAAAAAATTAAGGGGTATGAATACTTTCGCAAGGCACTGTATGAGCATTATAACATGTAATATTTTATAATTACAAATACTTGATTTTTGGAAGCTGATCCAGTAATCCAGATTACATGTAATCAATTTAAAGCACTGGTTGTGTGTTAAATAAATTATCAATTTTTGGAATTTTTTGTGTTTTTAAAGTTTTTAAAAAGGTGCTGCAGAGCGTGACGTCACATCACAGCCACTGCAGCAGCTTCCAAAGAAATGTCACATGCTCAAAGTCTCGTGTGACCGCAGCTTTACCCTGAAAACTGTCAGAAGATGGAAAAGTAAATTCAGCGATTAATGTGTTTTTCTCTCTGTGTAGAATCAGCTGCTTCAGACACAGACAGACGTGCAGCAGATGATCCAGAACAGAATGAAGAAGATTCAAGAGATCCAGCACTCAGTAGAGATGAGAAAGGCGAGTGATCTAATTATGAAAATTAGTTAAGCTTCATAATATTTTAATACTAATTGATGAAGGTGTTGAATTTAATGGGGGGTTTTTTCCAAGTAACGAGACCAGCAGATGAGAAAAGCAGCAAGTACATTTGTAGTACGTTCTTATTTTTTGGGCTAAATAAAATAGTAAAACTTATACACTATAAATACACTAATTAAAAGTATATTTCTACTTCAGTAGTACTTCAGTGCAATTTCAAAAGTATACTAAATACCACTGATATTTAAATTGATTTTTAGTACATTGAAATAAAGTGTACTACTGCAAAAAATATATAGAGGACTTTTATTAGTGTGCTATAAATGATTTAAAAATTAGTTAAATGTTAGTACACTTTTATATAGTAATTCTAAGTTTAAATTAAGTAGATTTTATTCTAAATATATCGGTAATGTAATAGTTTTAAGTATATTTTCCAAACTGTGCTACTTAAGTACACTTAATATAAATTAATACACTAAATAGCACTAACACTTAAATTGATTTTAAGTGTAGTACCTGAAGTGTTTTATAATTGCATTGCTTAAAAGTGTGCTACGATCACTTTACATAATTTTTATGGATTTTAATATATGCTATCACTAAGTTCTATTTGGATTTTCATGAAAAATACAGTAGAAATGTTTTACTTAGGGTCAGTTTGGACTTGTGTATTAATTATCCTTTCAATCTATGGGTGTTTACATTTACTTGAATACCATTTACAGTAATTGTCAAGTTATCTAGGGATTCTCAGCCTCAATGTCTGCCCAAACTTGAAAAAGGCTCCAATCAACAATGAAGGGCGCATGGAATAACTCAAAACATCTAATTCTTGATTACTGATACAATTTATTGAAGATCCTTCAAACAATAACTTGATATTCTTTGCATAAATTCAGTGCTTCATTCAGATCTGTTCAGCTTAATAACCTATACAGGAAACACAAACCATATATAAATATAA